GAAGAGAGAACAATGGTGTAAAAATTTGCAATGAAGAGTTAGTGGAGTGTAGACATATTTTCTGTTTTGGAAATTGATTATTCAGCAAATATTTATTGAGTATTTATCAGGCATTGGGCCAGACGTTTGGGGTGTAAAGATAATTAAGATACCATACCTACCCATAAACAACTCATTATTTATCAGAGTAGGGAGTTAGGCTTGTAAACATATTTATAATAAGTGTGATAAAGACTGCAAAGAGAGAATGTAGTCAGGTATTACGCGAACATGGAAGATAGAGTCTGGAAAGTGGACTTCCAGGGAATGAGCTATAATTGAGAATTTCTAGGAAAGAGTGTCATTCTAAGAATTTTGGTTACACTGAAGAAGAAGAAAAAAAATTTTTTAAAGAGAAGATACAAGGAGGTATCCAGGTAGTAGATCAACAGGTTAGGGGTACCAAAGTTAAATATTAAAATGAATTTGGAAGGAAAGTGATCTATTGGGAAATGGAGATTCTTTTTTTTTTTTTTTAAGATTTTATTTATTTGAGAGAGCATGTGTGGGGAGGGGCAGAGGGGAGGGAAAAAGAAAAAGCCACCCAGGCACCCCTGGGAAAGGGAGATTTGAATTAGATAAAGATGAGAGTGCAGGGTAACAGATTGGAGTGGCTTACACTTTGAGTTATAGCTATAGAATTGTAGGAATGAGGTGACAGTGAAATGGAAGAAGGTGGGAGAGGTGTAAAAGAAGACTGAAGATTGCATTTAGATTTAGGTGTAAATTTGCTGTTTCTCTACAAAGCTTTACTAGGTATATTACATGAACTTTCAAAACTACCTCAAATTACATAAAAGCAAAATTGGCCTTGTACATGCTTTTTAAATTTTTAAAAAAGCGATATAGGTCTTCTATTGTAGGATCTTGTTATCGTGAGGTATTTTTTTTTTTTAAAGATTTTATTTATTTGAGAGAGAGAGAATGAGAGATAGAGAGCACGAGAGGGAAGAGGGTCAGAGGGAGAAGCAGACTCCCCGCTGAGCAGGGAGCCCGATGTGGGACTCGATCCCGGGACTCCAGGATCACGACCCGAGCCGAAGGCAGTTGCTTAACCAACTGAGCCACCCAGGCGCCCCTATCGTGAAGTATTATGTAGAAGATGTTCAGTGGTTGTGATTTGAATGGATTCTCTTCAAGTACTGGTAGACTTGAAAACTTGTAATAGGTAAGAGTTAAATAGGTTAAGTTTAATGTATTTTATCTTGTCATATTTGTCATTCTTGGAAAAAAGTTTCGGTCTTTTACCATTTCTGAAGCAATGAGTGTTTTAACCATAATTGAGGAAAGGGTCTTTTAGGTAATAGGCATAGATGTAGATATAGCACACGTCTACATGTCTACATTTTCTTTTATACCATCTAAATGGATTGACAATAGGTTTTGAATGGTGAGATAACTGTTGGTAGCACTTTGTCAGTGCTTACTTTCTTCTTTATTTCTTCTCTCCCTCTCCTACTTCTCCCTCCCCACTTCTCCTTACATTTTTCCTTCTCCTGCCTTTATTGCCTGTATGTACCCTGGAGACCTGTTAAAATTAACAGCCATTGCTCATCTCCACCAGTAACATTCAAAGCTAGAAAAAAAAACCTATTAAAATAATATGCTTTGAAGTTAGTTTTTAAGGTCTAGGCGGTAGCTCAAATATTTTTAAATGAATCATTTTTTTCTTTTGTTTATGTAGTGCTGGTTAGTTAACTTTCAGTCTCTTATTATTTTTTTATTTTTTATTTTTTAAAAAAAATTTAAAGATTTTATTTATTTGAGAGAGAGAGAGCACGAGCAGGAGGGAGGGGTAGAGGGAGAGAGAGAAACAGACTCCCTGACGGGCAGGGAACCCGATGTGGGGCTCCACCCTGGGACCCTGCGGTCATGACCTGAGCTGAAAGGCAGACGCTTAACCGACTGAGCCACCCAGGTGCCCTGTTGTTTGGAGATTTTAAAAGAGAAAGCAGAGTACAGTTGGGGTTCACTCCTATGGGCTGGGGAGACTTCAAGGACTTTAAGCACAGCATTATCTTGACACTTGTTCCAGGTATTCTTGTTCAGTGGGTGGGAAGTGAAAGCAAGGAAATGGAAAAATCATGAGCACCAAGTTAATGGCTAGTAGAAAAGCTAAACACTCTCATATAGTGATAATCTTGTCACTGGGTAATTTTTCTTGGGACATTTTTTGGGGGGTGAGATGAAGGAAGAGGAATGTTTACCATATGTTCCTAAGATACAACTTAACAAAAAAGTATGACTGAAGAGGAACTGAGTGAATGTCCTTGGAACTCTAAATTCTTACTCTGAAGAATAACTAGCCTGACTTAAAAGGAGCCCTGACCTGCAGGAACAACAGGGCAATTAATTAGCTGGTTGTGCTCCTGGGTAAAGAATCACATGGCCAATAAGGAAATATTCAGGCTCTACAAAGAAAGGAAATTAGGTTTTAAGCTCATCCCGGACCGCTCCCTCCAATTTAGCATATTACATGGCAGCAAACTATAGGTATTCAATAAAATAATTTAATCTGTGTTAAATGTCTTAATGGCTGGGATGAAAGGGGAAGACTTTTCTATTTAGGAGACTTGGAGGGTGGCTCCTGGGTGGGTTAGTTAAGTGTCGGGCTCTTCTTTTTGGCTCAGGTCATGATTTCAGGGTCATGAGTCGGAGCCCCAGGTTGGACTTTGTGCTGGGCATGGACCCTGCTTAAGATTCTTTCCCTCTGACCTTACCCTGCTTGGCGTGCCTGTGCTCTCTTTCTCTCTCAAAAAACAGAAACAAACAAAAAAAACCAGAGGAGACTTGGAGGTATCTGGTTGTTGCTTTTCTAAAAAATTTCAAAGACCAGTTGGAAGGAGATGGTTAATTGAAATAATAAACATGGTTGAGGCGTGCCAGGGTGGCTCGGTTGGTTAAATGTCTGCCCTCGGCTTAGGTCATGATCCCAGGGTCCTGGGATTGAGTCCCACATCAGGCTCCCTACTCAGCAGGGAGCTGCTTTTCCCTCACCCTCTGCCCTTCTCCCTTCCCCCTCCCCACTCGTGCACGTGTGCGCGCGCTCTCTCTCAAATAAATAAATAAGTTCTTTTAAAAAATAAACATGGTTGAAATGGAGACGATTCATAGAAAAAACCTTCAGACCAATGGAGATAATACTTGGAGATGGAAATTTATAATTTATACTCAGTAAACATTTGTTGATTGTCCTCTTCCCTAAGGGAAATAGATGAAAAGGAGGTACATTATCTAGAGACTTCACTGAGAGCTATCACCTAGCATTTCACACCTTTTCCTCATTTCAGGAGTTTTGAGGTTGGAAGTGAGTTATCTCTTGGGGCAAGTAGAACCACATTGCAGTGAGGCATATAGACAGAAAATGAATTGAGTCTGTCAGTCTTAGAATGGCATTAATGCCAGAATTATGTAGAAAAATAACAGTTGCAGGTATATGTTTAGAATGAAAAGAACTTTGGCTTGGACTTAGGTAGTTGCGTTGTAATCTTTTCCGTAAATAGTATCCATTATTTATGTCATTCAGTGCTATAAAATAATGTATAAAATTACTTAAGATTATGATAAAATGGTCTCCAATGCCACCATCCACATGTAGGGAAGTCTAGATAATGATGTAGACCACAACCTGGCCACCGAAGTGTTTTGTTTGCCTTGCAGAGTATTTTAAAAAGATGGGAAATTTTACATAGAAATCTGGTTTCCCAACTCCTCTTAGAGAAAGAAAACCATACAATCTCTCAGACGTGGGCCTGCATTCTAATATGATAGTAATCAGCTGAATCTGACCCATGACGCCCCCCCACCCATTCTGTATACCCTCCACTTGGCCCGTCTCCGCCGTTCCTTACTGCTTTCGCACAGCCCATGTTAATTCGATTTCCCTGTTTAGCTGTACTGATGGTTGAGTTAAAAACCCCTGACCTGGCCAGCTGTTTGAGGCAGAGTATCTCAGGAGATCCCTCTTACTAGTGTAGGCTACCTAAAGTGCAGTACAGTGTATTTATAAGGGTTGTTAAGACAGTGACTCTTAAGGGTTCTCATCTTAGAAAAAAAATTTGTAACTATGTGAGGAGATGGATGTTAAACTTATTGTAATCATTTCACAATATAGACATGTATCAAATCATTATGTTGTATACCTTAAACTAATACAGTGTTATATGTCAAGTATATCTCAGTAAAACTGACAAATTTTGGCTTCAGGATCCAACAAAAGTCATATTTAAATATCTCAGTTTTTATTTCTAGGTGCAATCTGCCAGTACCAATGTGTTCATGAGTATTTTATTCTTTCCTAATAACTTACACAAAGAAATAGTCAAGTGCCCAAACAATCCTTATGATTTTTGCGGACATTTAAAAGCTTAAAGATATTAAAATGTACTACCTCAGTTCTGTTTCTTTGGGGGCTCTTATAGCAAGTGTTGTATTACTTGTAAGTTTAAGTAGGCAGGCAGCTATCACATTGTTCTAGGTGGTTTTTTTTTTAGCATTTTCTGGCTGTAACAACAGTGTGGATATGCTGGCCTCAGAAAATGCTAACTGATCAACTTGCATTCTTAGACATGCTACTGCTTTTTTGAGTGTTAACACGTGCTCTTGACCTAAAGAATAATCAGTAGCAGAGATCATAGCTTTCTAGTACTTAGTTGGAAGAATCTCAGTAATTTTTACAAATTAGATAATTGTGTTGTTTTCTATTACATTAATATTTTGCTTACAAACAGAGCCACAAAGAAGTCATTTCTTTTCTGTGTTCTCAGCCTCTTATACAAAAGTTTTGATTCAGCTGCTAAGATTGCTTGTTACATTTCATAAATTGCTAATTACAGTGTGTCTCAAACTTCCATTGTTACTCTGTATATCAAGTTGCATCTGTTTACTTGACCTTTGATTAAGTTAAATGGCTGTTTTTCAACGACATGTAATAACATATTTTTCTTCTTTTTTAAAAATAGATTTGGACTGAGCAACAAATTTGAATCAGAATTCCCTTCTTCATTAACCGGAAAAGTGAGTGTCTATCATTTACTTAGGTACTATTTTTTCCTAACAAATTATAGAAATAATTATGCAAATGAGACATGTTTATTGACATTGATATTACAGTATTGTTATTTCTTAAAATTTTTCTTTAGGTAGCTCCTGAAGAATTTAAAGCCAGCATCAACAGAGTTAACAGTTGTCTTAAGAAGAACCTTCCTGTTAATGTACGTTGGCTACTTTGTGGCTGCCTTTGTTGCTGCTGCACATTAGGTTGCAGTATGTGGCCAGTTATTTGCCTCAGTAAAAGAGTAAGTTGAATTAATATATTTTAATTTAAATTTAGAAATAGACAAGCAAGTCTTGCATTTATCTAGTTTTTATTTTTTGTACTGAATGAGTCACACCATGCTGAATACTATAAAAAATGATTTGATCCAGTAGAGGAGTGATTAAGTAAAATTATGGCATGTCTGCATGCTGTTATATTAAATTTAATTATAAATTTAATTCATAATTTTTATGATCTAAGAAATTACCCAAGAGTAGAATAGAATACAACATTCTCTCTGTATATACATTTATGGTGGTATAGCATAGTGATTGAGAATGCTGGGTTCCGGTCTACCACTTATCTCTGTGACTCTAGGCAGGTTTCCTAACCTCTGTCATCTCTAGTTGACTTATCTGTAAAATGGCACTATTCACCTACCTGCTTGAATAGGATTGTTTTAACTATAAAATGAAATAGTGTATATAAAGCTATTAGCTAAATAGTTCAAATAACTAATAGACATTGACTAATAGCATTATTACTAATACATAAGGTCGTACCCATAGAAGAAATAACATGGTTACAATGTTTATTTCTAGTTGGTAAGACTATGGGGAATTCTGGTTTCTTTTTAAGAAATTTTTTCTTTTGTATTTTACAAGTTTTCTGAGATGAGTACATAGTGATTCTTTATGGCAGATTGTTATAGATGGAACACATTACATTTTTGTTAAGTTTTTAAAAAGTATGGTAGCTATATGTATAAAAATGAAATACTTTTGAAACTGAATGAATGGTTTGTGTGGCTACATTTCATTTTGTCATCAAATAATGATAGGAAATATGGAAAAGCAAATTCTGTTTGTCCCTTGATTTCTGTTGTAAAATAAGCAATATATTACTACTGAAAAAAATTTTTAACTGATACATTTTATTCATAAGAAGATAATACCTTTGTAATAGAATTGATTTTGTAATATTTACTGTAATATTTGTAATATTTATTTTTTCTCCAAGAATATTTCTTATTTTTTCCCTTATATTTCTGACCAGATCATCTTCAGACTACATAATTTTTTTTTAATTTTTTTTTTTTTTGGTTTTCATTTGTCCCTTGATCCACAATTGAATTTGCAGCTCTTGGAGTTTAGATTCTCTCACTACCTCCTACTCTTCGGGCTTTTTCATTGTTTAAATGACTGCTGTCTCAGGGCGCCTGGGTGGCTCAGTTGGTTAAGCATCTGCCTTTGGCTCAGGTCATGATCTTGGGGTCCGGGGATCAAACCTCGAGTTGGGCTCCCTGCTCAGTGGGGAGCCTGCTTCTCCCTCTGCCCCTCCCCTCTACTTGTGCTCTCTCTCTCTCTCAAGAAAATAAATAAAATCTTTAAAAAAAAAAATAACTGCTATATCCCACTTGGTTGGCAATTTGCTGTTGTTTAACCCAAGGAATCATAAGAATTTTATTTTAGAAATCTGTGTGATCCAGTTTTTTTGAGGTTTTGAGATCTTTTGTTTTTTACCTTTTTTTTTTAAGATTTATGTATTTGTTTATTTAGAGAGCAAGCAGGGGGAGGGGGAGAGGGAGAGGGAGAGCAAGAATCTCAAGCAAACTCCCCACTAAGCACAGAGCCCAATGTGGGACTCGATCCCATGGCCCTGAGATCATGACCTGAGCGGAAATCAAGAGTCTGATGCTTAACCAACTGAGCCACCCAGGCGCCCCTGTTTTTTACTTTTTAAATGAGAAAACAAGATATTGCAATGTGTGTACAGTGTAGGATTTATAAAATAAAACTCAACTTCTTACTCTTTTCCATGCATTTTTAGCAATATGAGATCATTTTTCAGATGATTTCATTAAATTCCTTTTTATTTGAGTCATAGGATAGATTGATTTTCTTAGGCTATTCTCATCTATAGTTTCGGAAAGTACGTTTCATTTAACAATGCAGTATTCAGTCTAAGGTCTCTCTTTGTATGTATATGATTTAATCTTATATGGACTTTATTATCTAGTGAGTGCAAACAAGTATGATTACAATTTAAATAAAAAGCTGTGCATTTCCGTGTCTTGGGGATAAACTATTATATACCCATGGAGAGAGTGACACTTCATGCATGTATGAGGGTGTTAGAGACCCTCAAAAAAGTGGTGCTGTGTACGATGGGAGCAGGATCATTTAGAGCAAGGATTTTTAACTTTTTATTTGTCGTGGATCCTTTTGGTGTTCCAGGGAAGTCTGTGAACCCTCTCTTGGAATAATGTTTTATTTGTATTTTAAAAGGTTTAATGTATTTTAAATGTATGAAATGAAGAATATGAGATTATAAAGGAAACCGATTATATGAAATAAACTTATCAAAGTACTAAAACTCCTCAATTAGGGGTGCCTTGGGTGGCTCAGTAGGTTGAGTGTCTGCCTTCAACTCAGGTCATGATCTTAGGGTCCTGGGATCGAGCCCCACCTGGGACTCCCTGCTCATTGGGGAATGTGCTTCTCCCTCTCCTCCCTGTCCCTCTGCTCTCTCTCCATCTCTCGCTCTTTCTCAAATAAAGAAAATCTTAAAAAGTTGCCTCAAATATATTATTTATAAATGTTTATTAATGCATACAAAATAAGATAGCAAAGAATCTGTGGTAATATGATGTGATAGGAAAAATCTGATTTCTATGAGTGATAGAGATACAGGTCCTGTTTAGTCTACCACAGTTAGTTGCATACATTCATAATCTAAGGGAACTATACCACATTTCAGTTAGAGATCAGTGAAAATAAAGATGTTTCATCCACTTTCATGGATTCCTAGAATTTTGTCTAGGTATTCGATGTTAAGAATAAGAACCCTTGATTGAGAGTACTAGTATAAATATAGGCTAAAACCCTGCCTGATTGTTAGCCTCTGAACCTTTCCTTTGCCCTCATTTGTGATGGTGGAATATGGTTAGAATTGTCTCAGATATTTAAGACAAACCAGGACCAAAGGCATACCAAAGTATCAGCTCAGCATTTTCACCTTCATGACATTATTCAATAATTTGGGTAACTAGATTTCTCCCTTAATTTTGAAATCCATCTCCAACTGAGTGTCCCTTTTTATGAACTGACCTTGTTCTGGAGAGATTGTTTTTAAATCTGTATTATCATTGTTGTTCTTCTAAATTGCCTTTCCTTTTTTAAAAAAATTGTTATAAGCTATTTTTGAAAATTATTTACTATACAGCAAAATTCACTATTTTTGGTATATAGTTTTACGATTTTTGACAAATGCATATGGTTGTGTAACTATCACCACAACCAAGATATATTACTATTCTCTCCAAAAACACACTTACTTGTGCTGTCCCTTTGTAGTTATAGTCTTTTCAGCTCTTAAACCCTGACTACCACTGATCTGTTTGCTATCCTTAGAGTTTTGCCTCTTCTAGCTTGTTATATAAATGGAATTATACAGTATATGTAGCCTTTTGAATTTAGCTTTTTTCATTTAGTTAATGCATTCTAGATTCATCTATTTTGTTGCATGTATCAATAGTTTATTCCTTTTTTTTTTTTTTGCTGAGTAGTATTCCATTGTATGGATGTGTCATAATTTGTTTATCCACTTTCCAACTGAAGAACATTGCGTGGTTTCCAGTTTTGGTGATTTTGAATAAAGATGCTATATATGGGGGTGCCTGGATGGCTCAGTCGTTAAGCATCTGCCTTCGGCTCGGGTTGTGGTCCCAGAGTCCTGGGATCGAGCCCCGCGTCGGGCTACCTACTCAGTGGGGAGTCTGCTTCTCCCTCTCCCTTTGCTGCTACGCCCCCTGCTTGTGCTCTCTCTCTCTGTCAAATAAATAAAATCTTTATTAAAAAAATGATGCAATAAATATTCACATGTATGTTTTTCTGTGAACATAAGTTTTTACTTTTAGGAGTTGGGTTGCTGGATCCTATAGTAACTGTATGGTTAATTTTATAGGAAACTTCCAGATTGTTTTCCCAAGTGACTCTACCATTTTACATTCCAGCCAACAATATATGAGAGTGCCAGTTGTTCAAGCATCTTTGCCAGGACTTGGTATTGTTAGTTTAAGAAATTTTAGTCATTCTGATAGATGTGGGGGCATCTCATTCTGGTTTTAATTCACATTATCCTCATGACTAATGGTATTGAGCACCTTGCCATTTGTAAAACCTCTTTGTTAGAGTGTATTCAAATATTTTGCCCATTTTTAAAGAGTTATTTCTTATTGTTGAGTTTTGAGAGTTCTTTATATGTTCTGAATATAAAAGTCCCTTGTCAGGTTAATAACCAAATATATTTTTCCAGTCTGTAGCTTGTCTTTTTATTTTCTTAATGTCTTTGGCAGAGCAAAATTTGATTTTGATGAAGTCTGATTTATCAGTTTTTAAGAAATGGATTGTGTGTTTGGTGTTATATCTAAGGATTCTTTGCCTGAAGCAAGGTCACAGACTTTTTCTCCTATGATCTCTTCTGCATTTTACTTTCAGATCTGTGACCCGTTTTGAGTCAGTTTTTGTATAGGTGTGAGGCACAGGTCAGAGTTCATTTTTTTGCATAGGACTATGGGTTTTCTAGCACCATGTGTTGAAAAGACTGTTTTTTCTTCATTAAATTGCCATTGTACATTGACAAAAATCAGTCGACCATATTTATGTGGATCTATTTCTCTACTCTGTTCTATTGATTTCCATGTGTCTGTCTTGATTTTAATACCATATTTTATTTATTTATTTGACAGAGAGAGAGAGAGAGACAGCTAGAGAGGGAACACAAGCAGGGGGAGTGGGAGAGAGAGAAGCAGGCTTCCTGCTGAGCAGGGAGCCTGATGGGGGGCTTGATCCCAGGACTCTGGGATCATGACCTGAGCTGAAGGCAGACGCTTAATGACTGGACTGGAGCCCTATAGTAAGTCTTGAAATCAGGTAGGGTGTATTCCAAACTTGTTCTTATTTTTCAGGATGGTTTTGGCTATTCTAATTTCTTTGCCTTTCCGTGTAAATTTTAGAATCAGCATGCCAGTACTATGTC